GCAGCACGTTTTATTATGTTCACATTGGAGGCACTTACTTCTCATTCTCATAGCCCACAGAGCAGCTCATCTCACTCGCATTATTTAAATACCTCGTCATCATCCATCGGTTTTGTTAACATCAAATTCTCGGTTTTGGCATGCTTATTGATACTGGCTTATTAGTGCGCAATGAAATACCGCGTACAACAACAACTCGTGTTCAACCTCTTCAATTGACGACGCTGAAACTTAGTTTCATTTCTTTCCAACAGCAACAGTAGCGGTTCGCTATGGGATGTAAGAGCTAATCATTTAGTTGAAGCACTTGAGATCAAGTCACTTAAGACTAATACTGAAGTCAGCCAGTGTGGTCGTTATATTACAACAGCCGATGATTCCATTTTCAAGTTTTAGGATGCAAGTCACTATGGGTTGGTGAAAAGGCGAATTCGGTAGTGGTTATCGTAAAGTCATGGATGCCTTCTAGCTCCATCAACTCGCGGCAACAATGACTCGGCAATCCAGTGGCATAATGCATTCCTGTATGGTTGATACTGTGAGTTCATAGCATGACTTCTTGAAGTTGGGGTTAAACACTAATCCTATTTATCAAAATGGATTGAAGAGTAGTCGTTTTAAACTCGTCGATGCTCGTAGTGTATGCTTGTCGAACTGTCTCAATCCTCCTAAAAAGGCCATTACTTGAAACATCGAATGTGCCTTTAACGCATTGGCAGTAGTTGGATAGAGTTGACCAATGAAGATACTGTCACTGATAAGTCCATTCACAGGTTCAGCCGCGACCTTTTTTATTCAGCGTCAAAAAATATTGATTCAACGTTTTTGACATCAACAACCGTGCATACAAACGTCAAACAGCTCACCGTTTCAGCGATACAACTACAACACGCAATGACAGTTCGAGCTCAATACGAAAATGGCTTGTCTCGAAGCCTGTTTGGTAGCGGCTGTATCTGCACCAAATCCTACCAGATCAATAACCTACACTCACCATAAGAAATATGTAAAAGTGTACCAGCAGTGAGTCTGCAGAATAGGACAAACCCTGTTACCACAACCCATATCCCACACCAGACCAGACCTGCTTCTATTAGTACAACCATAATTAAAAAAAACTTATGGACTGTGACCTGCTGCTCCCTGTTGTCAGCTCTGCACAACTGCTGTCACTGCTTCAAAAAAACACCCAAAACACACAATGCCAAATTGATGTAACCACAAACCTACACAATGGACAGAGGGTATGCAAAAACGGCAATTTTGGAGCCCAACAAATTGACAACTTTGTGAGACTTTGAAAAGTAAGAGCAGAGGAAAAAACCTCAAAGATTGGGATAAAAAGACCCGTTCGTCTTCAGCCAAAGGGGGAAAAAAAAAGGCTAAGTCTTCTCCATTTTCTGAATATTCTCAAGAGATCCTCTTGAACCCTTTCAAAAAAACCAAAACCAAAACTCCACCTCTAACAACTCAACCTCCACCTTCATCATAACTCACCATGAACTTCACAACAACCATCCAAACTATCACAGTACTTTCATCGAACATGTGGTGAGCGAGACTGTAGACCATTAAAAATCAAGCCGCCGTTGTTCCAATAACTAACCATCCATCGCCGCACCGCCAAAAGAATACAGAAACGGAAGTGAAGGAGAAGAGTGAGAAGTCGAAACCGAGTCCGAGAATAAGGGAGTTCTGAATCTGAGGTAGTTTGACCTTTATGCGTTGCGTTTTCTCGTTTGCAATTTTGCTTTGATTCTGGTGGTGTTGAAATCTGAGTGTGTTGCTTGCAAGTGCATTGTTTGGGTTCTGATACCTCCAACGTATTCGTGTTTTTTGTTTGGTCATCAAAATCTATTAACTTTGTTTTTTCTGTTTTATTACTTTATTGAATCTCAAATAAAAGTTTTAGAGTTTTATAACTCTATTTTAGTAAATTTAAATTTTTATAACTGTATAAATATTCTTCTAATATATTGTAAATATTTTAATATTTATTTGTAAATACTGTGTATATATATTACTTTAGGTTTTCTTATATAATCTTTAGAAATATTTTATATATTTATTTTTTTATTTATTTATTTTTTAAGTTTTAAGACCTTATCATATTTCTCTTAAAAGTTTTCTTATATATTTAGAATGACATTTCCCTTTTTGTGTTTTGTTAGAGCTTTATAAGATATATTGAAGTTTTTTTTGTAAAAAATTTTTTTTTCTCGTAAGAGTTGGATCTCGTCTCTTATTGGACATCCCGTTCCACTTTTTGGTCGATGACGAGACCTCCGTAACCCATTACCAGTCAAATTATTGATAAATAATGTTGGATCTGAGACCACCTCTTTTCTCTCTTCATTACTTGTCCCGACTCGATTCAAAACTTTGTCAAACAATTTTCAAAATCAAGTTATCTTTGTATTGAATTAAAAGAGGGGATTAAGTGTAGACTTTCTTCCTCTCCGAGTGTTGGTATGCCCACTGTAGTGAGGGTGGTTCCGACACTCGTCTTTCAATACGAAGACGCTTCCCGCCCATTTTCAAATCTCATCTCCTTAAAGTCATTTCTTTGTGTTGAGCTAAAAAGAGGATTGGGTGTAGACCTCTTCTTCTTTGAGCGTAGGGATGCCCACTGTAGTGAGGGTGGTCTCGATGCTCGTCTGTCAATACAAAGACGCTTCCAACATTTCCTCATAAAACCTCGGTCTCGTACCGAGCACACTTTCAATAATGAACTAATTTCTCTTCGTATTGAATTAAAAAGAGCGGATTGGGTGTAGACCTCTTCTTCTCCGAGTGTTGGGATGCCCACTGTAGTGAGGGTGGTCTCGACACTCGTCTTTCAATACGAATACGCGACTTTATCCACCATCTCGCTTTCACAACTTCCTTCCACAATTTTCACACCTAAAACCTCGGTCCTGTACCGAGTGTATTTTCAAATCTTTTCAACCAAAAACTTGAATGGTCGTGGAGTGGTTAGGCGTAGGCCTTCTCCTATCCCGAGTGCTGACGTTTACCGTAGGGTTCTCTGTCGCAAAGCACTTACCATTCAAAACCAAAAACATCTTTAATAAGAGAACGAAGTTCTCTTTGCATTGAATTAAAGAGAGAGGATTGGGTGTAGACCTTTTCTTCTCCGAGCGTAGGGATGCCCACTGTAGTGAGGGTGGTTTCGACGCTCGTCTTTCAATACGAAGACGCCTCGTTCGCGACACCTTTTCTATAACAAAAACTTTGAGATAACGAATTGGGTACTACCTGTAGGGGTTACTATCCGAGGACCTGTCTCGCCCCTTAAAAAACAATCCAATCAATCAAACGTGACTTCTTGCCCCGCGTGGCGAAAACTAATCAATCTTTCAAAAGGATATGTTACGTCCGTTCTACCGCAAACAGGTAACGCATAAGTCTCCTCACATGCGAGCAGCAAAACACCTAAACTGCTAGAATGCGCACGATAGCATCATCCATAAAAAAACATCAACACACCGTAGGCCGAACTACGGCTGCTCTGATTCTTTACTTTTTCAAGTAAAGATACGTAGGCACAAGGGCCACAATCCTTGCCGAGCACATTACCCCATATATCTGTAGTTCCCCGAACTACGTCGACTCTGATTTTCTCACACCCGTTGAGAATACGTAGGCCTAGGACTACGAAGTCCTATCGAGTCTGTTCTTTCTCTTTTCTTTCTCGTTCTCTTCTTCCTCCTAACCTCTCATTTTCCTGTTTCTAACCCTTCTTTTACCCTGTAGAACACTTCTTATAGCATAATATTTAAGCAGATAAATTCACACATCGACAAACAAAAGGTTCCCATCGAGTACGATGGATGCGAGGGGTGCTAATACCTTCCCTTCGCATAACCGGCTTCCGAACCCATTCTTGGTCGCGAGACCATCTTATCCATTTCTTTCTTAAGGTTTTCTCGATATTTTCCTTTTCCCTCATGGGATAAATAAAGTTCGGTGGCGACTCTTCTGTCTATCTTTTTCGCCTCCCCGTCGTTGCGCGATGCATTTTTCGAGTAGCGACAGACATGCAATATGTTTCCTAATTCTAGGATTATTCCATGCTCTATAGGTTAAAGCATCAATAACTATACCCTTAACATTCTTAATATTCGCAGTGTTCCCCAAAATCTTGTTGTTTTTATACCTCCACACTTCATACACCGTCTCCGCTGCAGCACTACGGAGAAGGCAAGCTTTTCAACCGTTATTTTTATCCTTATGGCTCAACCATCTAAGCTCCTCGGTCCACCCAACAGGAGTATGCTGAATATTCATCCACTATAGAACTTGCTTCCATATGACATTCACATGAGGACAATCAAAGAAAAGGTGCTCTTCTGTCTCAATGTGGCAGACAAAAATTACAGTGGTTGTCACTAATCATACCGAACCACTTCATGCGCTCCTTAGTTGCCAATCTAATGTGATAAGCAAACTGAAAAACAAAAAAGGCTATAGACCTAGCAAGAGTACAATAGAAAAGATGCCTTCAATCCACCTTAGGGAAACTCACCTTAATATGGTCATACACTCTTTTGGTCTCAAACTTGACAACCATGTTATTCCAATCAACCATTTCAAGAGCAATGCCTTGTTGTTTCACTATGGTCTTGATAACCCACGAAGCAGAATCAACAAGCTGGAAATTCATAACATTCATACCTTTGAAATAGTAAATGTTCACCCACTTTATCCAAAGGTTGTCCTTCTTACCACTCAAGTTCCACAACAACTTCGCCATATTTGCCTTAGTCCACTCCTCATGAGACACCACATTAAGGCCACCTTTGTCCTTCGAAGTACAAACCTGCTTCCAAGAGACAGGGGACTTCCTAAAAATAACTTCACAGTCGGTCCACATAAACGAACGATAAATAACATCAATTTTCTTGAGCACCTCTTTGGGGAACGACAGACATTGCATCCAATAAGATGACATTGTTAATGAGTTGCAGTCTACCAATATAACTAAGGAGATTTGTACTTTAATGCTTAATACGTGACATTATTCTATCAATCAACCCCATATAATGATTATTGGATAAATTCCTGCTATTGAGAGGAATACTGAGGTAACAGAAAGGCAGCTCGCCTTCAGAGAAAGAGGTAATCTGCATGATACCAAATTTGACACAACTACCAACACCTCTAAAGTAAGCTTTATACTTATCCAGGCTCACATATAAGCCAGTAGCATGAGAGAATTCAACCATCTTATTCACGAGCAACTCAACAGATTTCGTGTCCTCTCGAGCAAATATCAACAGATCATCAGCAAAACTCACATTAATAATTTGGAGTTTTTCACATTTAGCATGGAAGTTGAAATCAGGAATTTTACTAATCTTGTGCAAACTTCTATGGAGATACATCACCACCACAAAGAGAAAATGAGAGATAGGATCCCCTTTTCTAAGACCCTTTTTGGCTTTCATGATTCTATTATACTCCCCACAAATGTTGAATCTAAAAGAAATGGTCGAAACAACTAACATAATCCATCTAGTGAACTTACTAGGAAATCCAAGCTCCTTAATAATGGCCTCTAAAGCATGCCAATCAACCATATCATACACCTTTTGAATATCCATTTGAAGCATACACCTCGAGGTACCACCTTTCCTATTATATCCACAAATCAGCTTATAACCAAGGAGAATATGATCATGAATATTCTGCCCAGGGAAAAAGAAAGCCTAGCTTTGGTTAGCGATATTATTCATCACAACACCCATACTACAAATCAAAATTTTGGAGATAATTTTTGTAAAATATGGTACAACACGAGATGGGCCTGTAATCCTTAATGGTTTTCACTGCATTACTTTTGGAGATGAGGGTTACCAGGGTAGTATTTAAAGCAACATACATCCTTTCATTATCATAGAAGTCTAAAATAGCAGCTACCAGGTCCCGTTTGATAGTATTCAGAGAAGCCTTATAGAATTTTGCTCTAAAACCATCAATGCCAGGACCTTTTAAATCACCAATATCCATTAGGGCCTTAGTAGTTTCAGACTCAGTAACAGGGAAAATTTGCATCCTTATTTGGTCACAGTTCAGTTAAGGACCCTTTCTCATAGCCACAATGCCAATGCCCACAAAACTATCATTGTCCTTGTCCATAAGATTACCATACAAATCCAAGACCTCATTAGAAATATCCTCTTTGTTGGTAATGATGGTACCATCAGGTTTGCATAAAGTATTTATATCAGTGTGCACATGCTTAGCTTTGACCTGAGCATAAAAATACCTGTTGTTATCATCCCTCGACCTTAACCAATTGATTTTTGATCTTTGCTTCAGAGTATTCTCCTCAATCTCACTCCACTTACAAACCTCCTTAGTCCTAGCTTCAGTCTCATTGATAAGTACAAGATTATATCTATCCTGCACAAGACTTTGTTGCTTGGGAGTATGTTCCTAATGGTGCATTTCAATGGATGCCTAGATGCAACCAAAGTTTTACTAATCCCCAAGGACCCAATGAAGATTAGGTACTTAGCACTATTTGTTAATCATGCAGGAAACATGTCTTGACTCTATGAAAGAGAGTATGGGATCTCGTTTGTGGAACATCAATGTATAACACGGTGACATGTCCTTATTGTTTTGATCTATGTGACTAACAAGGCATATTGTGTAACTAATTAGGTTAACTTATAGTGTTTTCTTTAAGTGGTAAAAGTGTGTGAATGATTACTAATGTTCTATCCGAGAAGTGTCGGAAAGGTATTATGTTCAATAATGTAGGTTTATCTTCAAGAAGACATACTCAAGTGAATCAAATTGGGAGTGATCAGCCTAAGATGATGAAACATGAGGAGGAGAAAGATAATCATCATGGTTGGACATGTTTGAGATTCCAACATCAAAGATAATCATCAAGTCAATCACCTATTGGATACATTATTTGTTACACTTTCAAATATTTATATAAGAAGAAAAGTGGTAAGAGAATTTTGGTATCGATTGTGTTTTGTGGCACGTGTTGCATTTATTTCAACTTTCATTTAAAAGTTCTTCGTTGAATGCAAGTGCATCCTCCGTCATGTGCACGGTGAGGCAATATCGTTTTAATCCTTTTTCTTGTTACGTACGTAAGTATTTCTTTTACCTGTTTATTTCGTGAAGATATGTGATGAACTATATGTGTGAAATTTGTGATATGGTTTAATTTCAAAATTTTCAATGTGATTGTTGTATGTTGCATTTTATATGTTTTATAGTAGCTACTCATAATTGTCTTCATATGTCATATATATCTTGAACCAACTCATGCATGAATTTTGCATGATTGCATGATTCAAGCAAGCAAACCATAAAAAATTATCATATGCATAGTTTTTTTAATCGAGTTAGTGTGCATAATTCAAACATGAGTCATTATTGGTCTCTAAAAGTCTATTTGATTCATATTTTTGAAATTTTGAAGTTTTCAGGTCGACACAGTCTGGCACAGGTCGACCTATGTAAGTTAAGTTTTTGCATTTGTCTGAAATGTTCTAGTTCAGGCTGACACATGTTAACTCAGGCCGACACATGATAATTTTTTGAATTTATTTGTGATTTTGTTTCAATATGTGTCGACCTATAAATTGTATAGGTCAATACATATGCTCTGAGGTCAACTCGTAAGCTCATTTTGGGACATTTCACTTTATTTGTTCTTGTCTCTTGAATGCAAACTTACCTTAAACATCTCAAATCAAGTTTAACAATTAAAATTCACCAAAATTCGTGTTTGATTTCATCTCATCATCACTACCTCATCACTTGTTCTCAAAATCTTCCACCACATTCCTCAAATTTCATCTTCTTTCTCCATTTCTCTTGTTAAACCCCAAACTCACCCTATATCATCAAAAATCCAAAATTTCTTCTTGTTTATTGTTTTCATTGTTCCTTTGTGTTGGTTTGTTATTATTCCTTGTGTTGGAGTGTGTGGGTACTCTTGGGTCTCTCATTATCTCACATTTTTCATTCAAGACTTTTGACAAACACTTGGCGTGCATCTCTAAAACTCGATTTTCTCATGGCTTCCAAGACCAAAAATGTGCCTAAGGGTAAAAAATAAGGCTTCTTCATCAACCACTGCCTCTGAGAATCCATTTACCTTGGTTTCAAAGAAATATTCAAAGGATTTTAGGCTCAAGCATATGACTTATCTTGTTGTTAGGCAATATATGTTGAAGAAGGATACCGTTGAAAGTTTGTGTCTGCCAGAGGTTGTGAAATGAGTTGAACATCAAAACATTGATTACTTCTTACAGTTAGTTAAAGGCTACAATGATGATCTTATTCGTGTGCTCTACTCCGGTCTACATGAAGAAGATGATGCTAACTTCAAATTCTCTGTAAACAACAAAGTTTATCATTTCACAAACAAGTTGTGGAACACTTTTTTTGGAATTACTGTTAGTGATCCAAATATTGATGAAGAATTTGATGAGGAAGTAACTGAAGAAGTGGTAACCAAATTTTATAGACATAAGCATTTTGATTGGAATGTTAAATTGAATGAGATGCTTAAGGCACCTCGCCCGAATAACTATTATGATCCCATTTCCATGGGACAATTGAAGATGCTACCTAGGATTCTGTTGTAGATTGTGTCTCACATTTTGAATCCTAAGAATGGAGGCTTCTCAAGAGTTGATTCTCTTAAAATTCATCTCGCTTATGTTCTGCTGCACAAGGTCAAGATAAGCTGGCCACATTACTTTGTGTATCGAATGTTCTCCGCCAAGACACGCAACAAAGGTACATCCTTGTGTTATCCATCTACGATCGAAAATATTTTGAAGCATTTCAACATTGACCTAGAAAATCTTCTCTACAAATCACCTGGCATAACTCAAGAGTTTTCATAACACAATCTTTCAAACATGAGTTAATTCTGGGATATTAAGCATCGAGCATATTATCTTCGTGTGAGAGAGAATCACATGGATGAGGAGCATCCTGTTGAGGTTTCTCATGGTGCTCCAGAGGTTGATGCGACCATGCAAGATGCTAATTAAGGAGTTGGTCACAATGGTGGTATTCATGCTGGTTCTAGTGATACGGCTGGCTATAATGACCATGTTGCAAAAACATACAGCTACAACAAGATGAGAGGTATGTTGCATAGGCAAAGTGGTTTTGTCTAGTGCAGAAGCATATGGCTACTAAGGATGCAGATTTCCAGTCCTTTTCTGCGTATACGACTGAGAGTATCATGTCCATCCAGAACATTGTTAATGAAAACCATGTTATTAAGATGGAAATGATTAGTTACATGATTAGAGCTCAAGAGGAGGATTTTGCTCACTATGATTGCTTTATCACGAAGTATGTGAAGCTGCTACCATGGATGGAAGACTAAGGCCAGTTCCAAGAGGATGTGTAAGGCGTGACTGATGAGATTTTATAGTCATATTGTGTCCTTGTGTGTTTCCTTTTATTTCTAGCTTGTGTCATTTGACTTTGGTGTCATGCATTTTCATTATGTTATGGTTTGCTACTTGCTTTTGGTTTGTTTGAACAATTTTCTAAGATGTTTAATGGTTGTAATATATGTGGCTTATATAACTCTTATGCATATTGTTGTGTGATTTATTACGCTTGTGTTCTTTACATATGTGATGTATGTGAGTGCACCTCTTATTCTTTGCAATTGCCTCTGTGTGGTATAAGTTATATGTGAATTGTGTATCTACGTGATGCTTCTAACAAATTACTTCTTTTTCTCTTTTTGATGTTGTCAAAAGGGGAGAGGATTATGAAGAGGATAATACAGGATTATGCACAATGCCAGGGGGAGCTATTCAGCATGCCAAAGAAAAACACAACGGCTATAAGATTCAAGTTTTTCCATAATAAAAAAGGGGGAGTACCTGAGTGGATTCTTCAACTTAGCCATATTTTAAGTGATGTTAAAACTAGGAGTATGACTTAGACTTAGCGGTTTTTTTATATTGGGCGGTATCAATAAATTTTATATGTGTATTGAATCACTTTAGCCTTAGGATGCATACACATGTTTTTGAAAATCCTTGGGCATGCCATACACATTAAAAACCAAGTTATATGTGTAAACACACCTGCATAGGCCGGCCTATAGAATCTTTTGCTTTAGTACAGACCGACACATACGATTACAGGTCGGCTCCCACACTCCAATATTGAAGCCTGTGGATTCTGTCCATAGGCCGCCTCCTTCAGGCCGACCTATTTCTTTCATAGGCCGACCTGTAGCCTTCAAAAAATCAAATTTTGTTTTGTATTTTATTTTTTCTTGCATCCTTTTTTTGGTTCCTAATTCCACATACACATATGTATACTCATACATGTACCTTCTTCTAGTAAGGTACTGGTGAATTACTTAAACAAAACCAGATTACAAAGCATTCCCATCATCTTCAACCTCTCTTCTATGCATACACACAATTGAACTACACATAATCATTTTTTTTATTGGGTGAACATCAAGATTAGGGTTGATAACGTC